TTAACGGAGTTATAGCGATTTAAATATATATATATTAAAAATATCACTCCAATTGGTTAAGCTTTGAAAAAAATTTTAAACGAATTCAAACGCAAACCTCTAAATACCGTATTTTGATGTATGCACAAATGGGGTTAAAGATAGGACACTACTTTCAAAAATAGTGTTAAAATTATCCTTTTTATTTGACGCAACATTTATCATTTGCAGTGTTTGTATCGATACAAACCTTTTGAAAAAATATATTAAAAATATTTTCAGTAGTAAATGGTACCAATAACAGCACATTTGAGCAATGCAATTGAAGTGGATACAATGGTCAATTTTTCCGTGCAGTACTGTACAGATTATACGCTCCTCACCGATCAGGAGTTTGGCCGAGAGTTGTCTCCTTCCTTTTCTGGCCTAGTGCTGTTCTTTTCTACTTTGCGCCGATCAAACTAAAGGTCACATCGCTACAGAAAGTAAACGAAGAATAAGATGCTCATCATTCAAGGAGTTCAGAAGACATTAGCGCTTACTGTACAAATAGTAAACTTCATATTAGAGAAGACTGGTCCGTCTCTCCCGTTGGTCCATCTCTCCCAACTTTAGCCAAATACACACGTATATACGGTAGCAAACATTAAACGTGAAATAGCCACAAAAGATACATATCTATTAATGTATTATATGTACATTATATCTAGGTATCTGATTCTTATAAATAAATTTAAAAATCAACTTACCGATTTCGCAATTGGTCCCTTTCCAACCCTCGATGCATTCCTTGTCGCCGTTAGAATTACAACGATAATGTCCGAATTTGTCATTTCGAGGTCGACAAAATTTTGTACATGTGGCGTTATAATAATGAGTATCGCATTTCACCCTCACCCGGTATGTTAGTCGCGCTCTTGACCCCCTGTGATTTAAAGTGTGCCATTCGGCACTGGGATCTATTATTCCTGAATAAGTCGCCTCCTCGATGATATTGCTACTCGCTAAAAGAAAAAAAGACGCTTGAGAATTGTATACANAAAGTAACTACAATATTATATTAATTTTCACTACAACTTGTTTCTGTCCCTATATTCGCTACTATTTGTAATGAAAAGTTCTACAATTTTAGAAGTTTGGTCTACAGTTTTCACGTCTTCACTTCTTTCAAGGATTTATATGGACCCAATCCCGTAGTGCGTCAATACTAATTACTATCTTACCCCGATTTAAAAAATCTAGGATTGTACGGTACAATATAGGGACTACAAATTCCCTCCTCAATCATGCTTCTTAGATTTTCCTTATACCATAAACTTACTTGCATTCGCCAGGGTTGTCGCAGTTTCCGTGTACTGGATGGCAGCCGTTTTTGCAGACAGCTGCAAAAAAAACAAATTCCCCGTGATTATGAAGCATAAAATTAATAACGCGTAGCAATACGAAATAAACAAACTAAATGTGCAATTAATAAAGCTATGGTTGTAATTTAACGAGTTGTAAATCTGATGCAGAAACATAAACTCAACAAATTGTGGTCTTACGATTTCTGATTTCTCATCGTCCGTATATACGTATGTAAATATTTGGACCCAAAAGGGGGGACCATTTAATTATTTACAAGATTCCGAACTCGAAGGGTTCAACAAAACCTAACATTATGGTTGTGCTAATAACTGTGGACGTCGGAATCGTTAGGTTAAATTAGGTTACAGTATAAGAAAGATCTCTCCATGGACCATAGTTAGGTTACAGTGAGGTGCTGTTCACCAAGGGTTCAAACTGGTTTATGGTAAGAGAGGATTAATTAATATATGTGCTCTGCACCACCGATAATGACCTTGGTACTTATGACAATGATACTCATATGTGGAAATTCGGAAAAGTTCAACTAATAATATATATATATATACTTATATCTAAAATAAGATTATGTAAAAGTCGTAATTTAACATTATTACATACAACGTGGACTTTTTAGAATTTATTTATATTTGCTTCTAATAACTATTTGTTGGTATTTATTTTCAGAAGCTTTAGTAATTGTTAATCTATCAGAAGAGAAAAATGTGGCAGACGTAGGAATTGTTGTAGGATGATGATGAAGTCGAGTCATCTCAATAGGTAGGTATGTAGAAAGATTAATTGAAAGTTCACAGTTCATGCAAGAGGCAAGAGACATGTTCATATATTACTCAATAAGAGAAACCACACCTCGGAAATGAGTAATTCATCAAAAGACAAAAGGAAATACCCCACACTGCAACATTGCAAAAAGCAAATAAACACACCACTTCTGTTTATAAGTTTTAATGATTAAGCATTGGGAAATTATTAGTTAATAATTAACAATGTGCAGTCGTGAGATAAAAAATTATCCGGAGACCACTCGGAAATTGCGTTTTCGAACTACCGTTCCACTAGAATATTTTCAAATAAAACTAGTAGCGAATTTGGTTTGATGTTTTTAATAAGATACTAACAACATCAAATTTACTTAAAACTAGAGAACAACTTACAAAGGGGGTAAAGTCTAATTGAAACTTATCATGGTGGTAGATAAATGAGGGTGTCGAGTGCAACCAAATACAGAAAACTTTAAAACTTTTGGTGTTTCATTCCCACCAGGCAGTAATGCTGGTGGGCGGGCAGTCCCTCCGGACTATGCCGGAAGGTAGGGCGGAAGGCCCTCTTCAGCCTGCTTTCAGGAATCGTGGAAATGGGTGGGTGGTGGTTCGGGTGAGAAACATGAGACGGACGAAATGAAGACAGAAGAGAATGAAAGATTATCTGTGGAATATTACTGCCTCAGCATTTGCCTAAGTGATCCAAGGAAACCACAGAAAAACTTGGACCAAGGCAGACGGACCCGGAATCGAACCGGCGTCCTCCCGAATGCTAAGCAATGGTCTAGACCTCTAGGCCATGCCACTCGGTAACCAGATACAGAAAAGTTCTGATAATAAATAAGGAAGAGCTAATAATGAGCCAGGTATTAGCAACAATCAGAAAAGCCTCATTTATACTACCAGGAATTAGAATATTCACAAAATATTGTAAAACCAAATAATAAAATAAAGGAATTTATGACCTAAACAGTTTAAAAAATGTTCGAAAAAATGTGATACATTCTAACTAATCATGAGTAGGACAAACAGAAACAAGATTAAAAGAGAATGCAGACAGCATAAAAGTTGAACGAAAATCCATTGTCCTTTAAGTACTCATTTATAGTCTTTAAACACAAGTAGACATTGATAACATAAAACGAAAAAAAGATGATAAAAGATTGTTAATGGAACATTAAAATATATGTGTAACCAATGACGAATGACCAACAGAATTCAAAGATGCAATTACAATATGTCAATATTAAGGAATCATTATAAAGGTCAAAACACCTGCATGACATGAAGTAATAACATCCAACCATTCAAATACAATTTAAATCTCGATGGTTTAGGTTATTAGTTGAGGTTAAAACGGGCTGATGACAATATAGTAAAAGTCTCGGTTATATGCACCTATGATTTCATTGTTAATTAATACATTGTGTAGTTCACTATGTTGAATAAGAATATACGTATGTATGTATGCACGGCGCAAAAACCTCGAGCTGCGAATAACAGAAAATCTGAACCAGTTGTACCAAACCAAACCAAACCAAACCAAAGGTAACCTAGCCTACTCCCAAATTCCTGTCAGCTCGCTTTAACCTCAAATAATCATGAGAATTTGCGAATCCCGGCTGCCAAGATTCGATCTACAGCCGAATGAAAAAACAATGCTTGTCGTTAATAAATCATGACCCGTATGATAAGAGCGGTTTGGCAATGTCCGTACTAAAAATCATGTAGAGAAGTGAAGTTGGCCTAAAATTTTGCATAAGATACCGATTTCCTCCACGTACCTACCCATAGGTAGGTAATATCTGATGTGCTTTGAAGTGACTAGGTTTGTACAGCACCCACGTATGAATTAAACTGAGACTTCCGAAGAATCGGATTGCACAAGGTCTCCCTGTTGTTAGCTTTATTCATAATATAATGTAATAGTATATAGATATATATTATGCAGTAATATTAAGTATGCTGTTCTTATGAAGCAAAATAATATTGCAAAACAATTGAATTTCGTCTCATCATCGTAAACAAGGGAGTGATGTAAAGACACGTTATTACAGTGGGCACAAATTCACGATTATGGCAATGGGCTGGTATCTATTACAATACAAAATTGTCACTTTATTACACGAATGATTGTACGTGTTACCCACATTCGAAGATAATGTGCACGATAAATTGATATTTCGTACATATACGTATAACAGCAACAGAATCATTATTCACATTTATCAGATGCATCGCAATGTAGTAGGTACTCATTATAGTATAATAATAACAAATGATAACACAAGTAACAAAAAGGCACAAGGAGTGAAACATACAAACGAGAACAAAGTGACAAAAAGAACAAGATAACAAAACAGTAACAAAAACAAAGACAACAACAATACAACAGAGTAGATAAAAGCATTTACGAATGTTAGGAGAAGCGGTAGACGGGAGACTGTTTTGAGATATGAAATTTGGGAGTATTTATAGAATAGGGTTGTTTTATTCCTATTTTAGTATGAGATCGTCCGAGACAAATTAACTTGATGTTTGATCACAATGAGCGTATTAGGCCATTTCAAACGGTGAAAAAAATTGAAAATTGAAGAATTTTCTTTTACATTTAATACGAGATGTGTGAGGAAAGTAATGAGATCAATTATTTATTTACTAAAGTTTTTATTTTTTTCAAACAACAATATAGTTCCCTTCGGCAGCTATACACGACGGAGTAGGTTTTTCCCGTCTTAGTAGCTGCGCTGAAAGGCTTCAATTGGTAAGACCTTTACCACGTCAGTCACATTCTTTTGATGACATCTCTGTGCACTCCCTCCATTACCAGGATCGTACTCGAGAATCCAGGATTCACTACCTCTGATTATACGATTGAAGAATTCGTGGTCATCGGCAACCCTTTCAAGAAGATCAATGTACACGTTTCTTGGACTGTCTTTCTAATCAGTTGTCAGGTTTTTCGGCACCAGTTTGACACAAACCTTTCGCATATATGCAAATCTTTGCGAAATCATTCGGTGAAAATATTTAAGTTTAACTCATAGTCACCAATCATTTTTATTATTAAACAAGGACGATTTGATCTTACAAGAGCCTTCACACATTCGACGTTTTCGTCGGTTTATGTTGGTGGTCTCCCTAAGCGAAGTTCATCTGCAACGTGTTCTCTCTGATTTGTGCCAGCGAAGAATTTGTGCTTCTGATAGGGAATGTTCTCCATAGACCTGTTTTAACTTTTCAAAGATCCCACTCGCGAACTCCCCAAGTTTAACATAAAACTTGATGACTTAATGTTGCTTTAAATGCCGCTCTTTTGCTTGTGTAACACACGATTACATTTCTCGCATATCTCGTAAACGTCAATATTCAATATTTTTTAAATACGTATAAATGTGAAATTAATTTTCTACACTTTACAGATTACCTCAAAATAAACACTTGAATATGGCCGCGATTTTGATATTCTGGACATGATTGAACCTATAACTCATAGCGTTGTCGTTTAAACGAAACCTTTTTATATTGTTGTGCACTGTGGATAGTACAAGACATTTCAGACGATCTTACGTATAGTACAATAGGAAACAATAAGTTTTGTTTGAAAAATTCTTTGGCAAAACTTATAATTTGTTCACAATGAACATATATTATGAGAAACATTTTGGGCCACCCTGCATGCAGATTGCACCAGAATTTCTGCTATGTTAACAATTTTGTTATTGGATGAGTTATGAAGGCGGTTAAATTGCTAGGTTTGAAGTTTACTACAAAAATATTTCTGTTGTTGGCAACCATTTATTAAATTGTGAGATACAGGGTTATTTGTAAAAACTTTTATTCGTAAATTTAGTACAAATACCTATAACGGCGACAAAAAAATTAAATAGAAGGTACAGTGTGTTTCAAAGAATCAAACTGATGATGCTATCTCGGAAACTAAAGATGGTATTAAAAACTCTAAAACAACTACTATGTTCTAGAACTGAAAAAGTATGAAACTTCTCTAAAGTTGCCTTTTATCAGGTACATAAATACATATACGATTGGTGATGTGGTTAAAGAATAATTGTATCAAAAATTAAATAAAAAAGGAATAATCAAATATTCAATTATTGTACCTTCGCTTAAAGACAATTTATTTGATAATGTGTTTAATCGAATAGTTTGATGTAAAAGCATATTCCATAAATAAAAATGTGTGGGCATTTTTTTCATTTGAAAGAAGGTGCAGTGTCTTACCTGGTAGTGAAACATTACTGTAATCCACAGCCTGAAGAATGAGAGTGAATGATCTCTGCAAAAAAAAGAAACATAATTAGTATTAAATGTAAAATAAAAAAATACGGTATATCAATACTATTTAGTATAGACATAAATAATAATCAAATGCATATTTAACTGAAGAAAATCCTTAGAATAGGATAAAACCAATCAAAGGCGTCTTTAAATTGGTTTTCATAACTTCTGTAACTGTATAAGTATCTATATAGAATGGTCGGCTTGCGCTTCGAAAATATTGAAACAGTATTAATGAATTATTTTGTTTGTGCTAAACAGGACGGTTATTGATAAATATGATAAGTTCGACAGTTTGCAACTCTCATTATTGATATATAGTTTGTAGTTTAAAAGCGGAAGGTTTGTACATTAAATTGATTGCTTTTAATATTAATTTATTAAATTTAATGTGCATCGTTGTAGAAAATTCTTCTAACTGTGTGAAAGAACTATAAAATAGCATAATTAGGCTCAATATTAGGAACAATCAATCCTAAAGAAATATTTGTATTAAGACAGAAGTATTACTATTAACTATATAATCTATCTATATATAGTTTGTTGCCGCTACACCAATTCTTCTTAGGCCTCTACATTGCATGAATTGCATCATTACCGTCATATTCAGATTCATCAGATTAGGTTATTGAAAATAAACTCTTTATACAAATTCATTCATCACCATAAGGTCGTCAGTCTTAAGACTGGTTGGACACGCACCTCCACTCTTTCCTATCCTGAGCTAATCTTCGCATTTCTCTAAAATTAGAACATCACACATCCTTCACTAGTCCTACTAATCCTCTTAACTCCTGCTTCTGGTTATAAATCTAAGTATTTCGCCTATTTCTAGATTTCTTATTGACTTCCAAAGAGTCCTGTGTTCCCCTATTCTTTCTAATACCTCTTCATTTCCAACCTTCTCTATCCACGGTATCCTCATCATTCGCCTGTAACACCACATTTCTAACGCTTCTAATTTTTTCCGCGCCCACCGTCCATGTTTCGCACCCGTACAGTGCTGCGCTCCAGGCATACACGTTTAACAGTCTTTTTCGAATTTCTACATTAACCGTTAGCAAGCATAGAAGTGACTTCTTTTTACCTCTCTACCTTGCGATATCATCTGTTTTATATCTCTACTACTCCTTCCATCCTGACTTATCTGACCTCCAGATATCGAAAATCACCCACTTCTTCATTACTTCACTAAAATTTACACGCCGGTATCAATGATTAAGATGCGGATTTGGACAATAAAGATCTAGTCTAAACGGTTATTATTATAAATTGTCTTATTTCATTCACGTTCGGCTATATTAGTTATTGGTCACACCTGCATACGTTTTTATGTGCGATCTGTCGTTTAATTTTTCATGCAAAATTTCATTACGTACTGCTTTAATATATTTTAGTGGAAGGTTATTTTCTGAAAGTACATTTTCTCTTTCAAACATGACATCTATTATTTCATATGATTTAATTTTTATTTATTTCATTTTAATGATATTTTAGTCTATATTAATGTACATTTAATACTTTTATATAATATTGTTTTATGGCAAGAAATTAAATGGTCATCAGTATTTAAATTCAGAGGGTGGTCAATATTTTTGCCAATATTGCCACTATATGTACAAACCAATTTTCGGTCAGTACCTATTCTTTCAGTACAATGGTCAACATAAGAAAATCAAACTGTAAGTATGTTAGAAAGGAATTAATTACAGGTTAGGTTAGGCAACTTCCGTTAACTTATTTTAGATAGACAATCACTCAATCAAAGGATTTATACTGACCATTTGTATTTACATAATGATTGTTTATTATTATTAAATATAGGCCATATTCTTATTTAACTGCTGAGTTTCCATATTCAAATAATGATACATTACACAACATTTAAATACTATTATTCTCCAAAAGATGTCGGCATAACCTTATTTAAGTACTGACGAAAAGGGATGAATGTACTGAGCAGTAAAATGCAAGCCTTATATTTCCAATGAATCTTTTTGAGATTGCTAAAATGGATTATTCGGATCAATTAACCTTAAAAGAGTAAGGTTGCGGTAATAAATAATCAAGTGGTCGTGGAGGCTGTATGGTACCGTACTCCATATTCGTATATTTCTTCGATACCTACGGAGCAGGCAACAGGCGGAGATTGTAAGACATTGACGGCAATGCACGCGGTTGTTTCAACTGCGCTTCGGCCACGCTAATGGCCTAATGGATTATTTCTAATGGGTAGTTAAACTTCGTGATGCAAATGTTGACTGAGTGATAGAAACAGCATGACGAGGCACATCTGGCAGAGTATTTAAGAAGTTTATGGCGTCGAGAGAAGCGCGCGAGATCCGTCTTTGAGAAACGTCAGCTCGAAGAAAGCAGCTGATGACCTGTTGAATAGTTGAATTTGCACGTCGTCGACATAAGAGTGCTGTCCGGTTGGCAGAATTGAGATATTAATTACTCATATCACGCATGAATGTTGCCAAAGTGCGACACAATTGTACGGATTAATAAAATTTTATGAACATATTTATTACAAGAGTATTTGTCACTGAACCTTTATTATACATCATCATCATAAGGTCGTCAGTTCTAAGACTGCTTGGACACGCACCTCTGCCCCTAACTCCCGTTTCTGCCTCTAATATGTCTCTGACTCTCTGTTCTCCTATTCTTTCTAACACCTCTCCATTTCTGACCTCTATCCACGGTATTTTCATCATTTACCTGTAACACCACTTTTCAAACGCTTCTAACCATTTCTTGTTCGCAGCGTCTATCGTCCTTGTTTCACACCCGTACAGCGCCGCGCTCCACACATACACCTTTAAAAATCGTTTTCGAATTTCTAAATTAGCCTAAATCTAATATCTATAAATCACTTCTTAATGCTAGTGATAAAGATCATCAATAAAGTTTGATTCCTCTTATTTCAGATATTGGTACTTAGATTTCTTTAGGCTAAACTGACCTCATATTGATATACTAAACCTATTTAAAAGTCTGGTTAAAAACTATTGGTGGAACTGTGATCATACGGATTGTCAAAAATCACGCTTCCTTGATACGTGTGATATTCTAGTAGGATTATCCTTTCCAAATTGTTTATTCTAGCGGTAATGTATGAAATCTGTTATTTTATACAATTCCTAGGAAATGTATATAATTCCTAAAATTGCCCGGAAATGTGGGAAAAATTATATTAGACACATTTCCTAGGAAATCTATACATTTCTTAAATAGCAATCAGTAATGTATTACAGGTAATACTAAATAGGCAATAACACGGCAGACCGTTTGGAGATGTACCTATATCCACTGGTGACGTCATTGTTTGGTTCTGGAGATTTATTTCAGCAAAGACGATAAACGATGACCTTTAATTTTTAGAATGTTGTAGTCACTAGTGCATATACGAGAGTGCATATCGTAGATACATCCCCAAACCTAACCTAACCAAAAAATAACGTCACCAATGCATATATAAAGCGATCACAATCGAACCAAATACAGATAACTCTAATTATCAGTTTACTAACGTGTTTTATTCATTTTATTAACAGAAAGCATTAGTTTCATACATTTCCTGGTACAATATCCGAATTTCATACAATTTCTAGGAAATGTCTACATTTCTCAGGATATGTGTATATTAAAAAATCTTTTCAATCAATATTTTATAGATTTCCTAAATAGCCTCGGAATTGTATACAATTTCTACATTTCATAAATTTCCGGTAACATTTGCACAAAACTCTACGCATTGATTTTCAATATATTCTAGCACACCCACTTCGAACCTTACCTCACCCACAATTACTTAGGGCCTCTCACCCTTTCCAATACAGTCGAGACCGAGAATTTCCGGGTCAGAAACCCTACTGATTTAAAACATTATGCGTGGTTAAGCTTCACACATGCTCATCTTGTAGTGAAAGTTTATTAAATGTAAAGATTCGACAGAAGGCAAGTATAGTAACGCGATGTAAAGATAAAATTTGCATAAAGCGAACATTTTAAAGTGCTTGCAATGCGGAAAAAGCGTTTCTGCAAGTGCATTAACTGCCGCATCTTCACATTTCACAACACACGCTCTCCACACAGTTTGATTTGTTTTATGTTTATAAACAAAGCATAACTTAACGTATAGATACTCTATCTAACTACGCTCAAACATGGTAATTATGAAGGTGAGAAAAGTTAGTTGCATTTGCTTCAAAAGCATTTGCTACTAAAGAATTAAAAATAATTCCTTGTTTTATTTAAAAGAATGCACTATCAAATTGGTAAAGGAAAATGCTTATGGAACACCGACATACACATATTTTTATCTTTACCAGAATTTTTGTTTGTATCGCACGAACGAAAATGCATCATTTTGTGACCGCATGCAATATGGATTTTCAACCAGATCTAGGTATTTGAATGTATGTCGCCTGGTTCTCTGAAAACTGTTCTAAATAAAGCCTAACACCCCTTACAAAATTTAAATTGAATTTATTGGACTTATAATTAATTTGGAAATATTGTTAAAGGTATTTATGTTTCTATACCACGTCCTAATTTTCAAAAAAAGATGCAGTCCTTTGATGGTTGTATGAAATTTGTAACAGATCTAGGTTCCGATACTACCTAATAGGTTAGTACCTGATTGGTTTTCCTAACGGCGGTAATAGGGACGGCCTAATGTTAAATTTCCCGAAAATGATAGCAGGAAACAAAAAGTATGGTCGTTTAGAACTAAAAATCATAAGAAACATAGCGTCCTTTTTTCAAATGGATCCGCGATGTCTACGATATACTAAAAAATTCGTCGAAACAAAAAACGGTTCTTTGCAAATAAAAAAAAACTAGACTCCTAGCGGAAAAGTTAAATGAGAAAATTGTAGATATTGAGAGGATCTATCGATCCATTTTTTTTTATCGATCAGTTCATTACTTTTGGAGATATACCGAAAAAACCGTCGAAAATTTACTTTTTTTGTTTTCGCCGTAGTTTTT